GTCTCGAATCTCACTCAAAATAGCACAAAATGGGGCCTTTCAAGGCCTGAGAGGGGTCAAACACCTCCAAACCACAAAACACTCTTAATAAACAGTCAAGGGGGTTAAAAAAAAGAACTTTTTTGTATTATACACTAAGCTCAAAAATGATTTTAAGATAGGTAGAAATACAATGCAAGATTGGGGAATAAAGAGGCAAAATTGTTACCCTTGAAGACCCCTTCAACAATGGTGTTCCAACAGCTCCTTCTAGGTTGAAAACAGCTCCAAAACTTCAAAACCAACCTCTTAGAACCTCAGTAGCTAAGTGAAGGTGAAACACTATGTGTTTGTGTGCAATAGTAAGACACAAATGCACCTAAACACACACAAGAGGGAGATATAGAGATAGAAAGTGTATGGTTTCTAACCCTAGAACTCAAAACCCTAAAAATGGCTGTCTAAAAATATCTCCAGTCTCTCAAGTGTCCAACCCTAAAGCCAAGAGAGAAGGCTCTCTCTTATAGAGCCTTTTGTCTTGTAAAGTTTACAAGGCAAGCTTCTCAAGAGAGAGATCCCTCCAGAGGGGAGCAAAAAGCAAGACAGCTGTGATAAAATATCTGCAAAAGCAGATGCACAATAGTCGGCCGGCCAAAGATGCCATTTTGGCAAAAATGAGTGCTGACCGGCAACAAAATGTGTCGACCGGCAAAAAAAGGTGCCGATGGCAGCAAAAACCAGCCGGTGACCTCTAGCCATTGTCGGTGGTGTGTGGGGATGCCTCACAAAGCATTCCCAGCCCCTCCAAGGCAAAACACAAGTGTTTGGTGCAAAACCAAACACAAAACGGTCGAGTTCGGAGATCTTGAGGCAAGGCGCGTAGCCGAGACCTCCGGGAACTCCCAACGAACACAAACAAGGGTAATCACCAAGTGTTCCAATGGTGACGTCCAAGTCTTGAGGACGATCAAAAATGGGGTGTCTACAGGGGGCAATAAAAAAGGTTGGTAGGTTTGACCAACACTTTTTTTATTCTTCAGCCAAGATAAGGATCTGGGCTGAAGAAGATTGGCAGGATTAGCCAAGCTTTTAGCTCTCTTCAATCGAGATAAGGATCTGGGCTGAAGAAGATTGGTTGGATTAGCCAAACTTTTAGCTCTCTTCAGCCGAGATAAGGATCTGGGCTAAAGAAGATTGGCTGGATTAGCCAAACTTTTAGCTCTCTTTAACCGAGATAAGGATCTGGCTGAAGAAGATTGGCTGGATCAGTCAAACTTTAAGCTCTCTTTAGCCGAGATAGGGATCTGGCTCAAGAACATTGGCTGGATTAGCCTAACTTTTACTCTCTTTAGCCGAGATAAGGATCTGGCTGAAGAAGATTGGTTGGATTAGCCAAAATTTTAACTCTCTTTAGTCGAGATAAGGATCTGGGCTGAAGAAGATTGGTTGGATTAGCCAAACTTTTAGCTCTCTTCAGCCGAGATAAGGATCTGGGCTAAAGAAGATTGGCTGGATTAGCCAAACTTTTAGCTCTCTTCAGCCGAGATAAGGATCTGGGCTAAAGAAGATTGGCTGGATTAGCCAAACTTTTAGCTCTCTTCAGCCGAGATAAGGATCTGGGCTAAAGAAGATTGGCTGGATTAGCCAAACTTTTAGCTCTCTTCAGCCGAGATAAGGATCTGGGCTAAAGAAGATTGGCTGGATTAGCCAAACTTTTAGCTCTCTTCAGCCGAGATAAGGATCTGGGCTAAAGAAGATTGGCTGGATTAGCCAAACTTTTAGCTCTCTTCAGCCGAGATAAGGATCTGGGCTAAAGAAGATTGGCTGGATTAGCCAAACTTTTAGCTCTCTTCAGCCGAGATAAGGATCTGGGCTAAAGAAGATTGGCTGGATTAGCCAAACTTTTAGCTCTCTTCAGCCGAGATAAGGATCTGGGCTAAAGAAGATTGGCTGGATTAGCCAAACTTTTAGCTCTCTTCAGCCGAGATAAGGATCTGGGCTAAAGAAGATTGGCTGGATTAGCCAAACTTTTAGCTCTCTTCAGCCGAGATAAGGATCTGGGCTAAAGAAGATTGGCTGGATTAGCCAAACTTTTAGCTCTCTTCAGCCGAGATAAGGATCTGGGCTAAAGAAGATTGGCTGGATTAGCCAAACTTTTAGCTCTCTTCAGCCGAGATAAGGATCTGGGCTAAAGAAGATTGGCTGGATTAGCCAAACTTTTAGCTCTCTTCAGCCGAGATAAGGATCTGGGCTAAAGAAGATTGGCTGGATTAGCCAAACTTTTAGCTCTCTTCAGCCGAGATAAGGATCTGGGCTAAAGAAGATTGGCTGGATTAGCCAAACTTTTAGCTCTCTTCAGCCGAGATAAGGATCTGGGCTAAAGAAGATTGGCTGGATTAGCCAAACTTTTAGCTCTCTTCAGCCGAGATAAGGATCTGTCTTGTAAAGCTTACAAGACAAGCTTCTCAAGAGAGAGATCCCTCCATACACGTGTATGGAGGGGAGCAAAAAGCAAGACAGCTGTGATAAAATATCTGCAAAAGCAGATGCACAGTAGCCGGCCGGCCAAAGATGCCATTTTGGCAAAAATGAGTGTTGACCGGCAACAGAATGTGCCGACCGGCAAAAAAAGGTGCCGATGGCAGCAAAAACCAGCCGGTGACCTCTAGCCATTGTCGGTGGTGTGTGGGGATGCCTCACAAAGCATTCCCAGCCCCTCCAAGGCAAAACACAAGTGTTTGGTGAAAAACCAGACACAAAACGGTCGAGTTCGGAGATCCTGAGGCAAGGCGCGTAGCCGAGACCTCCGGGAACTCCCAACGAACACAAACAAGGGTAATCACCAAATGTTCCAATGGTGACGTCCAAGTCTTGAGGACGATCAAAAATGGGGTGTCTACAGGGGGCAATAAAAAAGGTTAGTAGGTTTGACCAATACTTTTTTTATTTTTCAGCCAAGATAAGGATCTGGGCTGAAGAAGATTGGCAGGATTAGCCAAGCTTTTAGCTCTCTTCAACCGAGATAAGGATCTGGGCTAAAGAAGATTGGTTGGATTAGCCAAACTTTTAGCTCTCTTCAGCCGAGATAAGGATCTGGGCTAAAGAAGATTGGCTGGATTAGCAAAACGTTTAGCTCTCTTTAGCCGAGATAAGGATCTGGCTGAAGAAGATTGGCTGGATCAGTCAAACTTTAAGCTCTCTTTAGCCGAGATAGGGATCTGGCTCAAGAAGATTGGCTGGATTAGCCTGACTTTTACTCTCTTTAGCCGAGATAAGGATCTGGCTGAAGAAGATTGGTTGGATTAGCCAAAATTTTAACTCTCTTTAGTCGAGATAAGGATCTGGGCTGAAGAAGATTGGTTGGATTAGCAAAGCTTTTAACTCTCTTCAGCCGAGATAAGGTTCTAGGCCAAAGATGATTGGCAGGATTAGCCAAACTTTTAGCTCTCTTCAGCCGAGATAAGGATCTAGGCTGAAGAAAGGTTGGCAGGAATAACCAACATTTAGCTCTTTTTCAACCAAGATAAGGATCTAGGCTGAAGAAAGTTAACAAGTATGACCAACATTTAGTTCTCTCCAGCCGAGATAAGGTTCTGGGTCGAAGAAAGTTGGCAGGGCCAACACATAGCAACGTTAGCAGATTACAAAGCTCCTGGATCGAGATGGCTGTCTCGGCCAAAAATATTCAAGACATGCCAATTAAAGTTGAAAGACAAACACAAACAGGATATGAACCGAACAAAAAGATTGGAAAATAGCAGATTTCATTCCATTCCGTTTGAAAAAATGAGCATTACAAAAGTAGGGGCAGGTCTCAGAAGCACGAAGAGTGAGAGAAGATGAACAGTGGAGTGTTTAGTTTAAAAAGAAGGGTTTTTGTTTAAAACACAAAAATGGGCGGGACTGTTCGAAGCTTTCAAGGTACAACGACGGCTGTGACAGTTATACTTGACCAGTGGAAGTGAACCACGTGTCCAGGGGAATAGATAATGATTCAGACGTGCTTGGAAAGCTGATCGACGTGTAGAACAGCTGACAAGACATTTCTGGACCGGCCAAATCGGTAGCTCGGTAGAAGGTAAGCTCGATTGGCTTTAATGTTATAGCTCGGCTAGAGAAAAATAATCCCAAATCATACTTTGCAGATGGAATTAAGGGGCAATTGAGAGGGTAATTTATAAATAAACATTAGCCAAGCTACAATCCTTTAGTCTCTGTTATAGGCCGGACTAAAGGCCGAGGTATGGGCTTCGAGTAGCTCGGTCCCATGTTATATGAAAGCTGGGCAGAGGTACTTTGGACCGAGCTACCTAAATAAGTGGGCTTAGTGGTTAGCCAAGGTATTAGTGAGAAAGAAGGTCGGGCTTGGTATAGCCCGGCCAAATGCTATCTACGTCACTACTTGAGTGTATGACCGAGGTAATATAGCTCGGTTAGGTCGCAGTAGCCTAAACAAAGGAGGTAACCATCTTACTTGGTTGGTAGAAAGCAGAGTGTTATTATAATAGACACTCTTCATTGAGCTTGAGACTCCTAGTAAGGCTCTGCTAAGGAGAGTAGAGTCCTACTAGAATTGTGCAAACCATCTCACTTGGTTGGTAGTGAGTAGTGTGAATGATTCCAAGGAAGACTCTTATAAGGAAGAGTTGGAATCCTACTAGGATTATGCCAGGCAGAATCTATAAAAGCTCATGACCGGACCTATGTTCAAGTATCCCAATTCTTACTCTAGAATACACAGAGCTTATTGTCTATTGTCTAGTTGTTGACATAGGCATCGGAGGGGTTTCCGACACACACCCGCTCGCTAACTCACGTTTGTGTTTTCAGGAGGCAAAACGGCAACGTTTGAAGGAGCGCAAACTTGATCAACAGGATTATACGAGAAGATTATTTTTGCACATTAGTTGTTGATTTGTTTAAAATTCAGCCAAATAAGACCCAACTCTGCCATATAAATGTGGATAAATTTAAAATTAATGTTTTAAGGGACTCTAGTGTTGCTCAATTATCACACGCACCTTTAACTGCGGCATAGACTGAAACTGCAGGCAAAGCAGTAACGTCGGCGACGGAGGAGATGAAGACGATACTTCCGTATCTAGATGCTTTTAAGAGGGGATGAGCAAGTTGGCAGAGATGGTAAGGGGGCTCACCATCAGTTCTCATTATCTTTGAGAAATCTTCTACGGTGGTTTCTGTATTTTTTTTTAGTAGAGCTAATGCAGCATTGTTCACCTAACCCAGTATTGATCTTAAAAAATTTAAGTATATTGTGTATATCAATTTAATTTGGAAATCAATAATGATATGGATCATGAAAAAGTAATTTAAAAAATGAGTCAAAAAGTATATTGCATATATCAATTTTACTAGGATCGAAAAGAAAATTAGCAAAATGTGGTTAGAAGTGATTGTCAATCTCCTAGAGTGGTGGTTGGTTTTTGGCTTAATGTAGTGACTGAAGGTGATTATTGTCAGTGGGAAGTCGACAACGTCATTGGTTATTGTCAAAGGTGGTGGCCGAAAGAGGTCACTGTCAAAGTCAGTGGCTGGTAGTAGTAACGGGTAGTGTGGGTGATAGGGCCAGAGGAGGACAAAGAAATGGAAAAAAAAAAAAATCTAAAATTCTAAACAAAGTAAAACTAATTTTTTTGTAGTTAAATTTTTGTAAACTCTTTGCAAAACTTTAAAACAAAAACACGGAATGAATTTTTATTTATAATTATTAAAAAATTTACATATATAAAAAAAGAATTATAAACATATATATTACCCATCACACTATAAGGAGAATCCTATGCCCTGCCCCACAATCCTTTTTTAATTTATTTTAATTTATTTTTTAAGTAATAATATGGAAAGGGAGCATCCTATGTCCTTCCTCCCGGACAGTCCTCTGTCAACTTTCTTGTTCTTTATTTTTTTAAGTTACAATAATGCTAATACCTTTTACCTTTTTTTATTTTATTTTATTTATCAGATATGTATACTTTGAATATTATGAGTTCTACATAGACGTTATTAATAAATTTAATAATAATAATAATAATAAGTGTGCACCAAGAAGTAAACTAAAGGTAGTAAGAAGAGATCGTCATCTTTAACATTGTTAGTGAAGTTATCGTACCAACCACTTCCTACTCAACTATTTTCTGCAAATATTAGTCAATCAGTTCTGATTTCTGCTCATACTATCTTATTCAGAAAAAATAAATAAATTTACTCCACTATTTGAACGGGAGAATCCAGTTTAATTTATTATGAACCTGTTTCGATTCCACTTTATTAATCTGAATTGTTCAATATTTAGTGTCTTTTAAATAGACCATCCATGCAAAAAATTTGATTGATTGATTATTAGATATCGGTTGCTACATAATTGAATAATATTTTAAAAACAAATAAACAACTTATTTCTTAAATTATATTTGTCATTTATTTTTTTAAAGATAAATGTAATACAAAAATATAGCTATCGATATTCAATCAAATTGATTTGTTTATGAATGATTTACTCGAGAGACATTAAAAATTGAACCGTTACAATCAATGTAATGACCCTAAACTAGGCTCAAAATGGGCAGAACTGAATCTTCCAATCAAAATGTCGACCAGAAGGAAGCTACCTCCAACAAAGAAACGTTCTTACTCTATGACCCAAGTGACCGGATAACAATATTTTAAATTGATTGAATTGAACAGATTGCTATGCATGGGCATGTAGTTGAAGAAATAATGATATACAAATAGAATTTTTATACATAATAATATGATTTTTTATGGGCACATTATTATGAATATAGTTTCTATATGAACTTTCTATTTACAAATGAATATATTAAGATTGTTTAGATGCAAAATGACTATGAGAAGCACAGGTAGTTGGTAGATTTGAAGATTGAACTTACAAGGATGTTGAGTTTGCCATCAAAGACAGAAGAGACGGTTTTCATAAGTTCCTCTCGTTGAACTCTTGATGACAAATCGCATACTGAGACACTTACTTTATATCCCTTACTTTCCCAATCTTGTAGTCTCTCATTCAGCTCTTTTTTATTCCTAGAGCATGTATGCACTGTGGCACCAAATCCTGCCAATTCCTCTACTATAGCATACCTAAAATTCATACGTAAACCACCAAAACAAATATATATTTTGGTCAAAAAATGAAATTTAACATAAAACAATTTTAGATCATCTCGGCGTCATGACCAGGACATATGGCACCTCGGCTAGCACTTCGGTGCCACCTTGGCCACGTGTTGTTATTCAAAAAATATGTCCCCACAACTGTCCCCTAGGTTCTATTACCTCGGCATCCTGAGGTGACGGAACATATCTCATTTAACCATATAGCATGTTGGCTAAGCTTGCTCTATCCTTCATTACCGAGGTCATCATTCGTCAGCTCCATATGACCCAGACTTGTAATCTGTTTTCATTAATGCCTTAGAACCAAGAACCAAGTTTTTTCAAGTTCTTTAACGGAGATCATTCCCATAGCCGAGATCTTTGCTTCATTAAATCAAGAAATCCAAGAGTTTCTATACGCGTATGAGCTGTCACACACAGTAACTCAACCGTTTTCGCCACGCGTCTCTTCGCTATTGAACCGTACCTGACATGCGCCATCAGGTCGTGTCGTTTCTCGTGCACTCCCTGACAGACACGTCGTCCTCGGCACACTAATTGTGATTTTTTCGCCTTTTCGTGTTTTAATCAAAAACACCTCTCTCTCTCTCTCTCTCTCTCTCTCTCTCTCTCTCCGTCTTTTCACTTTTGCATCTTCGTCTTCTCCTAAGCTTTCTCTCTCTAACACTTATCTTCCAAATCCTCCATTGTTTCAAGCTCCCAAGCTCTGCAACCTACTCTGTTAATCCCTTTTAGTGAAGTAGTCATCGTTTCATTCCATTCACCGTCGTCGTCTGACTTCGGCGAATCTCAATTCGGCATCATTTTCTTTGGTAAGTTACTGTTTTTCCCTCTTTTCAGATTTTTGACTTACTTTGAACTCTGTTACTCTTGTACACCATTTTTGTGAATGCATTCAAGTTCTTGAATACCTCATCTATGTTTTTGAATTTCATCATATTTGTTTACATCCTGCTTCTGTGCCATCTTTTTCTGGGTACACATTTGGTTCACACACTTGCTATCTTGTTACTGTTCTTGGCTTGTTACTCATTTGCACACATTTTTGAACAATCGTTCTTGATTTGTGCTTTCCGAGTTCTAAATCACATTTCTTTTCTGCTTTCTTTTTGTCTTATTTTCCAGATTCTTGCTCCTAATTTTTGCTTCAATAGCTCTAGGTTTGGGATTTGCCTTAGAACTCACAAACTTTAGGGAAACTGTAACAATCTTCCCTTGATCTTTGAAAAACCCTTGCCCTGTTTCTGTTTTGGGTTTAGCCGATGTCCCTCAAACCCGTACAAACCATTTTCTTCTGAACTCTCACATTGCCCCTCTTAGCCGACATCATGGTATGTTTAGGTGGAGGGTAGTCACCCCAGAGAAGCTTGAATACTTTAGGCAAGAGTTTTCCATCCCTGCCGACGTTGCCCTTCCCAGTAGTAGCCTTCATTGAGTGCGGGCTTAGGTTCCCCTTTGACATCCTCTTCCACCAAGTCCTTCCCTACTATAAGCTTACCCCGATACAATTAGCCATTAACTCTTACAGAGTCATCACCGGTATCATTGCCTTAGCTAGCCGAAAAAATGCTAGGATAACTGTAGAGACCCTAATTTTTGTAATTACCATTAAATCCCTAACCTTGAGTTTATTTCAATAAAGTCCTTGAATTTTTACTTAATTGCGTTTTATACCCTAGAATCGGGAAGCATCGCGAATTAATTTGAGTAAACCCTAATCGACCCCGTAGATTAATAATCATGTTTAAAACCCTATTATTAATTATTAGACCCTATAATTATAGATTAGTCACTTTAAAATCTTAATTTCCGGTAATGTTATTTTTGTTCGATTTCTCGCCTTTGTTTGCACTTTAATTTAACGGGACCCAAATTTATTATTTTAACTATTTTCTAATGTTAGTATATTAATAACATATATCAAGATTTCATAAATTTAGACTTGGTCCCTATATACTTTTATTTTATTTCATTCCAACCCTTAATTGTAATATTTTATTAATTAATGTACTTGTGCCTATTATATTATGTTTATAAATACAAATATCTCATATATATATATATATATATATTTCTTGGAGCCGAAGTAGCTAGTCATGTGAGGGTTGAAATGGCATTGATGGCATTGATGGACAACTTTGACCAATTACACCTATGAAACTTGGCCCCTAAGAAACCTTCCAATCCTTTCTCCATATATGCATACTTCTCCCCCTCATTTTACGCATTTTCAGCCATGCACTAGAGGAGTGACAGAGAGAGTGATCTTGGAAAAAAAAAGAGAGAAAAAGAAAAATAAGAATTGTGTTGAGTCTTGTACAACAAAGGTAAACCTACATCACATCTTCTCTCAAGTTCTTTTACCACTTGTTTTTCCCCTTCTAATACATGCTCATTGTATATATATGTTGTAGTCTAGGCCTACACTCTCGTATAAATGTGTATTAATCAAGAAGTGGTATGCTTCTCTTTCTTTCTTAAATTTCCAGCAGCAAATCTTTTCCCTCTCTTGAATTTATTTTCCCATCAAAACTCCGTAAAATCAAAATCTGTTTTTATGGTGTAATATTCGGTATGTCTAGAGTATGTCATAATTTTGGTAGGACCTAAGAATGTATTTTTATAACCTAAACAATTTTTCTAAGTTTGCTACTCACAGAACCAAAAAAATAGCCAACTTTCTCCATTTTTATAAAATTCTAGAAAAATAATCTCGAGTCCAATTTTATGTCAAAATCTTAATCTTGGTGTTATATTTTAACTAAAATTTGTTGAACTCAAGATAGTGAGGGGTTTGAGAGAAAAACCGATTTGCGTAACTGTCAACGAATCTAGACAAATCTTGGTAATTCTGAATTATCTTAAAATCTAAAATACCTATGCTATTTTCGTAAATTGAGTTTGAAACTAGACTTGTTTTTCTACAAACTCACATGAGGTCAGGTACTTAGGGCCAATAAAAATATTTTTTTCATAATTATTTTCAAACTGGTTCAAATCTGGAAATTTGGAAATTTGTGTTAATATGCTCTTATGTGGTTTGCAACTCTTATATTCTATGTTTCTTGAATATTTTAGTCTCGATATGTAATCTATGATAAATTTTGAATTTGCCTTACCATGAATAAATTACTTGTTGTTTAGTTTGGATTCATAATTATACTGACCATGCTTTGCTATAACTGAGAACATAATGCACTTAATAAAGGGGAAATCAAATAGGATGGTAATGTGTTGCAATCATTGTATTAAATTTTATGAGATAATGAACGATGGATTCAAGAGTATGATATAGTGGAATGTGTTCCATTTTTGTGAAGTCTTGCGCAAGTGTGTTTTCGAATCCTAACATGGCATAGGAGGTATTCTGGCTACTTAACGGAAATGGGAGGCATAAGGGTGGCAGTGAGGGTGTCACACAGGGAGAGTATCCCTGGAAGGCCATTCCCTTGGGGCAGACTGTGATGTCACCACTTGGGTATATAACCTAGGTGCGTGGGCATCATTAGTAATTGTGCGGTAAGCGACGCATTGGTATTGTATTAACCAAGGGGGAGTCAGAATTGCCCGTGGCCAGTGTTAGTGGTTAGGTAGGAATGGCATTCCGCAGGGAGTTGCCTAGAACTAACTAAAATTGACTATTATTCATGAGAACTGAAATTTAATTATAAGCTCTGCTTAATTATTGCTTTCGCTGTATGTTATGGTCGGGACGTTATATTACTTGTGTATTTGGAATGGGAAAAGGATTGGGGTGTGTGTGTTTACTGGGCATTCCAAGCTCATGTCGTTTTATGCCAGGTAAAGGCGAGTTTCACACCGAGAACGGAACCCCTAAAAGCTTTGTGGAACCATGGATGCCTTAGAGATTAGATTTTATATTTCCTATATTTTGGATAATCTTTTTGTATCAAGGAACTGATCTGTATTTAAAAACTTGAAGAATTTTATCTGTAACTATTATTAATATTTTCTTTTAGTATAATTATTTGTAATTTGTGCTTCAAAATGATGTGTATCCGCTAGTTAAACCCCGGTGTATCGCTGTATTGTATTATCAAAATTTCGGGCATCACAATAACCCTAGCCGATATCTAATACTGTTATACAATGTGTGGCTTGAAATTAGAAAAAGGCTACATCTATTACCTTAAGCCGAGATCCATAGAATACAAATTCATCGCCGACCTCCCAGACTCCAACAAGGGTGCTGGAGATGATTATTTCATCGTCTCGGGCAACTAGGAGTTCCCACCAGATGATGGACTTCACCTTTACCCTTCAAGCCAAACAGTGTTCAGAGAGGGAAATGGTAAGAGCCAAGTATCACTTTACTTGCTTTCAAGTCTTTATATCTTGATATTTTTGTATGTTCTAATATCTGTTTCTTACTTGCAGTCCTTCCACAGCCTCCCAAAAGACTTTCGCAAGATATTCTTCCCCAACAAAGACTTCAAGAAGTTGCTGGGCTTGCCTGTTAATTAGCGCAAGGCTCTTTTGCTTCTGAACTACATCCCGACCTACAAATCAACATTGCCCGATGTCCCTAAAAAGAGCAAGTCTCCACCCTTAGCAACAATTCCCCCAACTACCTCATCACCAAGGCCCGATCAAGCCTCAACATCTGACCCAGCAGAACAGCCATCAACTTCTGCTCCACAACTGATTCCACCCTCTCAGTGCCAACGCCAACGTCGAGCCCCACTGCTTGCACCCGCAGGCAGAACTCGTAGCCGAAGACGCCGAAGTACTGAGGCGTTGGCTTACGATCTAGCCAACCCACCGACTGCACTTCCAGCGATCCACTTCGGCATTAAGGTCACTGTTGTCATTGCCGCCGACGAGATGGGTAGCAAAAAGGCTATTACAGATGACCTTTTAGCTGACATCCCCAATGTCGTCATAGTCCAATTTCGCCTTCTCAGTCCTAGCAAAAACCAAGGCCAAAGAGGCTGAAGAAGGCCCAAACAAAGGCAAC